CGAATGATAACGAGGCCACGTACAATACAAGGCAGCGTGACGACATATTTGTCCGCTCGCCAACTAATACCCGTTGCTTGTTTTAACACTGTATGCTGGAATGATGGAACAGACTTAGACATGTGAGTAAAGCTTACGTAGTTAAGAAATGCTGTAGGTTGGAAACGTTGTAAACTGAGGGCGTCATAAACCGAGGACCCCCTGTATCTACAGTTCATATTATTAATGTAGTTACTTTAAGAAATGGGAAGAATGCACAGGCACTTTTTGGTTGACGGGTGCATCTCTATATAACTTATGTAAGGTGGACATTTTATGGTTTTTGTTTTTACTGTAAAATCTATGTATGTAAAGATGACGCAATCCTACCAGGAAGTATAATTATTTTATGATTGTCCTTCCTGTTGTTTTTTTTTTTTTTGGTGTTCATTAGGTTTATTAAAACCAACAGATGGAGTAGAATCAGCTGAATGGTTAGATTTGTTAGTTATTTGGATTTATCCACCTGAATTACATTAAATATAAATTGTGTGAACAAAGCCTCTAGTGTAAGTGAGAAGCAGATTCTAATCTTTGACATTTACACCATTATTTCAAATAACAACGTTCATAACTTAAACATCACAAATGACCTAGAATCTTGCACCTTTCTTGCATTTACTACACATCCAGTCACTATTGCAGTATGCTGTCAGCGTGAATATTTAATAGGCCTTTTCCTCCAGCACACAGTTTGACATGTTTTAGCAGAGAAAGCAAAGGTGTCAGGATGTGTAGGCAGGAACTGCGTGACAGCGAGCCGACCGGCACCTTTACCTGAGGAAGCTAAATGGAAATCAGTCGTGATAATAATTTACATATCGGCTTTTCCTGCTTTGTTAAATTGTCTGGTATAAAAACTCACGCTGCCTGTGCAACTGACTTCACTTCTTCTTGGGTGTGTTGCAATCCACAGCAGCAACCGAGGCGTGATACTGAACTTTAACCCGAGGCTTGGTCTTAGTTGATCTTTTACGCTCTGAGTAGACTGGTTTGCTCATACCTTTTTAAGTTTCTGTGACAGCATTGACAACAGTTTGGAGGACAAGGTGTCTGGTAGGTCTCAGCAAGATTATCTTCTTATTTCTTGTTTTGTTATGTTACATTATTTTGTTTATATGTTTATGCTTTATGTAAACATTGGGACATTTTAAACTACATTTAATCATATGGTGTGGAGAAAAGTGCTGAGCCTTTTCTGAAAACTCCTTATAAAGGTGAATGAAACATTCATCTTTCAATTAATAGGAAACAAATAAATGTGAGAATATCTACATAAGACTTGTTGGTAATATACTAAGTCTGTAACTGTTAATCAAGTTAGAAAATCTCACCTTGAATCTGGTGGTTCTATAGTGCAGTGGTTAGCACGTTTGGTTAGCAGAAGCAGTCCTGGATTCAATTCCCTGAGGAGCCACATGTGTGATAATGTAAATCCTCCTGTTGTAAGTTGCTTTGGATAAATGTGTCTGCTAAATGCAAAAATGTAATGTAAATGTAATAAACCTGAATCTTTTACATTGAACCAGTGGTTCCCGATCACAAGTGAGTGCAGTTTCTTACTGGGGCACAAACAAAGAAAATGTTCAAATTCAAATTGTGCTGCCCACATTAGTGTTTATCAATATAGTTTTAACACTCAAGGTTAGAAATTCATCTGAGTTTATGTGGCTGTAAAAGGCAGGGTGAAGTGAGTTTAACTGGGGTTGTGTCACATGGGGGTCACACTGACTCATGGGTGTGGTTATTTGCCACTGCATGAAAAGTTTCTTCCTTAAATCACATCGGCATGGGGGAAGGTGGCCAATTTTAAGTGTTCAAAATGTCTATTTTTATTATTGTGCTCCACAGTTCTACAGTCTTTACAAAACTGACCTAAAAACATATGTTTTAACTTTAGAAATAAATACATCAAAGCCATTGTCCTCTCTCTGAGTTGGCCTTGATAATCAAGCAAGCAATACTATTATATTGTAACTGGATTGCATTTCGCAATGTTGACCAAATTAATTTTATTAAATGTGCGGCACTACTTTTCAAAAACTTTCCACCCATGCACTTGTGGTTACTTATTTAAGATCAGTGCAGAAAAAAAAGATAGGCATCTTTACGTAGCAGCGTGGAGCAGAGACAGTGGGGAGGAGGAGGAGGAGGAGGAGGTCCAGGGACAGATGAAGATGGACAACAACAGCTAGTGGGTAAAGCGGTGAGGAGGTGGCAGTACTGTATCAGAGGAACAGTGTATGACTGTTCATTATTAAGATGGCTGGAGAGTTGAATGAGTGCTACGGCTAATTTAAATCTGAGTGTGATGGACAGAACACAATTACCCTGAGTGCACAGGAGCAGGGACGGAGAGATAAACGCAGCATCTGCCCTTCTTTCCTCCCTTTTCATCTCCATCCTTCTGCATTTTCTCCATTTTCCTGGCAGACTCGACTGTAACTGCAGATGATTTCTGGGCATTAAGCTCCTGTTGCCAGCACCCTTAACACATGCAGCACAGGCGTACACAAACACTGATTCCTCACAACAGCCACTCTCACCTGTAGGCAGTGCCCCATTTACAGGCAGCCAATTTACCGCTCGTGTCCTTCTCTTTTCCATTTTCCCAGGCTGTGTCTTCAGCTTTGGCTGCAGATTCATGTCTAAATCCTGACACACTTAGCCATGTTCACCTCCTCTTCTGCTGCTACTTTTAGCTCCTGCACAGATTCTGGGTCAAAACGCCACTACAGCGTTCCCGATGCCTGGTCCTGGTGCTTCTTCTATTTGTACATGTCTGCTTAGGAGTGAGTTTGTAAAGTTAGACATGCACTGCTTTTTTTGAGGATGGGAATTAGCGTGTTCACCCCCTCCAGGGACTAGCTCAGATGTGGAACTTGTCCTAGAGTCTCCACAGTAACAACCATATGTCCACAGCCATGGAGACATCTGCAGAGTGGTAGAGCAGCCAGTTCTTGCTTCTATTCGTGTCGAGTCGAATGGGTTTTGAGTTTTATTTTCTTCGCTATGGTTGGCCCAGACACCCTTCTTCATCTAAGTGAGTAGTACTCTCACTGGAGAAGTAGTTCAAGGAACATTATTTATAAGATTACAACACATTTTTCCTAACAGGATGTTCTTATTATAGGGCACACTACCTCCACATAAGTGAATCTATGGATTGTTGTTTTGGGGTTGTTTTTTTTTTAGGTTAATGCAGCATTTTTTGTGCTGTTGATTTTCTCTTCCAAGTCAAGGATTTAAAATACTGTTTTGTTGGCCAAAGCTGCCTGAAGACAACAACATCTAGATAACAAAAAGACAAACGTGTTCAGAGTTATGGGCTTTTGTTCTCTCACCCTTCTACCCTCACCTCATTGTTTTACACTCTCACTTTGTACTCCTCACCCCTCTGTTTTTTTCACCCTGTTCATTCCTCTCTTCCAAACATCTCTCTCTTCATACTCACTCTCTCTCCATCCATTTGGTGGAACCGTGCTGCTGATAATGCCCATAATTGGAGTGACTCACACTTTTCCAGTGTGTTTGGACCAGATAAAGAATATTGTCAGCATTTTGCCGACATGGCCTCTGCTGGCAGAATTAAATGGACTCTGTTCTGTTCTGTCTGCAGCAAATTAAAAGCCTCTCAATTCATCTGTTCTCGCCTGAGGCTTACAGGGGCCCCCTATTCACACAGAAACACCGAGGAGTGAGGGAGGAGAGAGAAAAGAGAGTTTTCCCTCAACCCCAAGATGCACTGGTCTTTGGTTTTGTTCAGCTCTTTTTTCCCAACCACTGTTAAATAAAGATGGAGCGGAAAAGAGAGGTCAAAGCTGAGAGTTTAAGAGAGGTGAAGAGCAGCACAGAAGCTAGTTGTATTCATTATGCTGCATGTTAGTTTGCAGCTGTCTGTACTCTCTCTCTCTCTGTGTGTGTGTGTGTGTGTGTACAGTTATCTGAGAGGGTTTTGGTTCAGATCTCAGTGTGTTTGGCCCTTTAGGTTTCGTTCGTTACTGCCAGGCAACACTTAAGAATTAAAGAGCAGCAGATGGGGAAAGAATAGACAGACTCCTGGGACCAGAGGGGCCCACGAGGCCCTGCACAGGGGGCTGTTAAAAACACAGGTGCTATTGAGAATACATCACAGGGGTTTCACAGTACAAAATTTCAATGCAGTTTTTTATTCGTCCAATTTATTTAAAACAACCTCAGCCGTGTTTAAGCAGCAAATCATAACAAGTCTGGCTTAGTGAGATCGCACTGTTGAACAACCCTAGTTGTTACTTGTTGTATACTCCAACTTGTTAAACGTCCTCCATTACAAATCATAGTGATTGCATACAGATAACCACACCCTGTTTAGGAGTATAAAAAGGAGATATGTATGAAAAAAAAAGGAAATAATTCAACGCTGATGAATCCGTCTTTATTTTCTAGTGGGCATTCT